GACTTTGAAAGTTTTAGTAAATTCATATTTGGTATGAGAATGAATTTTTAATTTAATTTAATTTAATTAATATTTCATATTAACCACTAGGAATTTCAATTTAGTTGTAATGACAAAGACTTTCACACAATACAAACTGTTCGTAAATAAATAATATGTAGGCATTTAGAATACAAAAAGAAAAGCTACATATGACCTATATTATATTAATTTAATAATTATATGTATATTTTTATCCCTTATCAGTTATTATTGGGTCGTATCAATACGGGGGATTTAATATTTGTAGACATGCCGCAATCTAAATCTAAATGCACGAAACACAAAATGAAATTCAAGTACAAACATAACATAGTAAAATATGTGTTAATTAATTAATTCATTACCTGTTATAATATCTGATGAAGTTATGATGGTAAAGCTCGTCTGCTGAACATAAAACACACACGTCTTTTTGGCACTGTCACCACTCAACTGCACAATTTTGTCTTTACTTTTTATGAATTCTGGGATAGAGATTTATTCATGTTATAACTGATAAACAAATAGTTTCAGTTTTTTTACCTTCTTCACCCGGCACTCCGCCTTTCTTCTACCAGGTCGATCTCGATCTTGTTGATTTTATCTTGACCTCTAACGATAACGTAGGACAAACTCGTAGTGTGCAAATACAATAATAATACGTTTTATTAAGTTTAGAAAGAGGAGCAGTTTTGTAATAAAAATATTTAAGAACAATTTACTATGTACAGTTTGTTTTCTTTAGTATCCGGGTGGAATATACCCTGTATCAATTAAATAATTTATGCTTAATAATTTAAATATTAAAAAAAATAACATGTAGGTATCTGTTAAAAATGATATTAATAATTACCCATTAGGTAATTTTAGAAGTTATAGCGCAGAAATATACAAGGTATGACCAAAAAGGTTTTGACAATCCTTTGGCAACACATAGCCCAGTCTTAGTTATTATCAAAAAGCTTGAATAAAAAAAGAATAATAGGGTAACACCATTTTATTCATATATTTGCTAATTGTGGTACAAGGTATACCTGTTAATCACAAGATTTGAAAAAAGTAATTAAATTTACAAACAAAAATACTGGTATGCAAAAGAAGTAGTCGATTTTAGGTATCTTGAAAGTCAGATAAGTCAGGACGGAAGGAGTAGTAGGGATTTAAAGCAGAGGATAGCGCCGGGTCGAGTTGTCTTCAATAATAAGAAGTCACTTCTATGCTCGAGAACGCTTAATTTAGAAATTTGAAAAAGATTGTTAAAGGTGTATGTTTTAAGCGCGGCGCTGTACGGCTGCGAAACATGGACAGTGGGCGCGGGAAAAAAGTTAAAGGTTAGATGCGTTCGAAATGTGGTGTTACCGGCGAATGGTGAGGATAACGTGGATAGAGAGGGTTAGAAATGAAGAGGTATTAGAAAGAATAGTACAGAGGACTCTGTGGAAGTCAATGAGAAATAGGCGGTATAGGTTAGGTTAGGTTAGGTTGTATTAATGAGAAATAGGCGGGATAGGTTAAGAGGACACCGTCTCAGGCATGAAGATCTAGTTAGAGACATATGAGGGGCAGAAACGGGGATTAGGAGGGGTAGAAGTTTTAACTATATAAAACTAGCCTTGAGAAAGCCCAATAACTAAGGCCGAAACGTCGGCTGTGTTTTTTTTAAAAAAATAGTATACTTTTAACCCTAATACTGCTTTGATTTTGAAATTACATTTTGCGTAATTGCACCAAATTAAATTTAAACTTTCTCTCTCTTTAAACATATATGGGTATATTATAGGAAAATTGCGGTTCATTTATTTCATTTAATGTCTAATTGCCCTTCGTTTTATTTTCCATTGTTTAATAAGTGCATGAAATTTTATCTTTATCTTTGATTTATGACCATTACGTATTGCTGGTGTTTTTCTATAACCGTTCATTAATGTTGATTTATTATTATTTTATTTCAGGGCAAAGAGTTGAAAAACGATAAGAGAACATGCATCACATGCAGCAACGGTGCTTCTTGCCTTTTATTACAAAATATCATTGCAGATGATAGTGGAAAATATGAGATTGTCGTGGAAAACACTTCTGGTGCAGATAGCCAGTATTCGTCCGTATCAGTAGAAGGTAAAAATTCATTTGTTTAACAAAAAAAAATAATTTCACATAATTCTCTTTGTCATCGTCAGTCTACAGTAGGCGTCAAGGGAAGAAAGTGCGGGATTCTTCCTGAGCACGAACCACACGCAAGATTGCAAAATCCTTTTCAAATAAAGAGTAATTGAGATTTCTTACCCCAAAGGGATTGTTGCGCTTTCGCCCTTGAAATCAGTAAAGATGAGCAAAATAAAAAAAATTTAACTTGCATTTTCGGAAATGTAAGACCAAGACTGTCTTTATACTAGCAAGACTAAAACCAAGACCGAACGAACAAGACCAAGACTAAAACCAAAACCAAATATGCAAGACTAAGATCAAAACTAAACGAAAAATTATTACTTCCTGCGGATTTATGAGTTAAACTATTTGAAGCAACTTTAATACAGTAGAACCTTCATAACTTAAACATCGATAACGTAATTACCTCTACAAATTCATAAAATTTTGTGTTCGCTTTCCCTAGGAGTCTAAAACCTCGTTTACTTAAAATAAAAACCCTCTATAACTTACACGAATAATTTTGGCATTGTACCTTAGTAAGCAGTGAAAAGTGGTTTGAATCGGGAGAAAATCTTCTATGTAAAAAACAAAGAATTGCTGAATTTCGTAATTTAGAAAAATGCTTGTTTACATGGTTTAGACAGTGTAGAAATATGTAAAAACATTAGTGTCAGTGGACCTATGCTAAAGGAAAAAGCTGAAGAATTTGCTAAATCACTGGAAATCCATAATTTTAAAGCTTAAACTTAAACCCTTAGTAAGTAGAAGTCTCAATAACTCAAATTATTTTACATTTCCCTTCATCTTATCGAGGTTCTACTGTATATTCTTTCCTTTAGTAGGTATTTCAAATTTTCAGTTTTCTGTACTAGATTTTAACACTAAATTATTATTGTGTCTTCGTCTAATTTTGCCCATCACTAGAAATCAAGGAGAAAATATCTCTGAATGTGGTCAACACGAAGGGTGCCTAAACGTTTACTTAGGTTTTTAAATTTTAGATGGTTATTTTCGTCCATATCCGTAGCTTCATTAAAAGAAAACCTTTCATTCTTAAATACTGGTTTCATAATCGTTGTTGCAAATAAAACTGTAGATAGTATCAATGCATTATTGTAATTGTTGTTGTATAACACCTTTTNGAGACTCTCGTAGAAAGACTGGGATCTCTGAAATAAGTTGAACTTAGAAAATTTTAACCATGTCTATCGAGACACCACTTATTGAATGATTCGAGCCTCTCGTTTAGAGATTCGAGTCTCTCGTTCAGAGACTGGATACGAAATGAGGATCTCTGTATGAGCGACTCGAGTCTCTCGTTCAGAAACGCTAAACATTTTTTTTGACAGTCTCTCAACAATCTCTTTCAGCGACACCAAAGAGACACGATGAGAGACGGAGACTCGAGTCTCGCTTTCAAAGACTCTGTGAGACTGAACATTTTTATCTCGGGTGACTGATTTTGGTATATAAAGCAAAGGATAGCTCGGGGTCGAGTCGCCTTCAAGTCACTTCTATGATCGCGAACCGAACGATTAATTTAGAAATTCGAAAAAGATTGTTAAAGATGTATGTTTAGAGCGCGGCGCTGTGCGGGTGCAAAACATGTACGGTGGGCACGGCCTAAAAGAAAAGGTTAGAAGCGTTCGAAGTGTGGTGTTACAGGCGAATGGTGAGGATACCATGGACAAAGAAGGTTAGAAACGAAGAAGTATTAGAAAGAATAGGAATATGGAAGTCGATAAAAATAGGCGAGATAGCTTGGTAGGACACCTTCTTAGGAATGAAGAACTGGTCAGAGACATTAGAAGCAGAGACGGGAGTTAGGAGGAGTAGAGGTAGACCTAGATTAGATTACTGTTCGCAAATAGTCAAGGATGTGGATTGTTCTAGTTTTAGGGAAATGCGAAGATTAACTCACGATAGGAAAGAATGGAGGTGCGTGCCCAACCAGTCTTAGGACTGACGACCTTATAATGATAAATGACCGTCCGAGCACAGAACCCAAAACGTACCTACTCGGTTCTAATTCAGGAGAACTTTATTTTAAGAATACTTCTATTTTCATGGGCGCAGGCTTCCAAAATGATAGTTAACCGGGAATTGAACTCGAACCCCTAGTTTTACGCATCAATACCCTAAGAAAATTTTTTCTCATTAATTTGAGGATATCTGTATTGGATAAAGTTAATTAACTGATGCATTAAAAACCCTCAAAGATTCAAAGTGTCTCAATGGATAGATAATTTGGAAATGTGATTAATCGTAACTGCCTGGTTATTATGGAAATATAAAGCAAGCTTGTTAGTAAAAACATTTGTTACTCATGGATTATTACAAAAATGTGACTCTCCAGTTCTTTTTTACCGTCACATCACAAGTATCATTGACCTCTTGTATCTGTATACATATACTTATAAATATTTGAGGCGATTCATTGTGTCTCGTGTGAATCACAGTCGTATCAATTTGCATAATATTAGATGTGTATATAGTTAAATTCCTTAAGAATAAAAAGTTTTAATAGGTACATAAACATTTCTTTTTATACCTACTTAAATACTAGTTATAAAAGTTACAAATTATAATAAAGAACATTAAAACTCCGTTATAACGTACCGATGAGTAAAAAAAAGAGGTTCATTAAACAACATCAAAATATATTTGATTACAGAGTACAAAAAGAAAACAACAGAAATCTGAAAAAAAAATACTTGACGGAGAAATCAATAAAATATAGCAGGCTATGTACATTTTTATTTTGTCATTAAAACTTATTGTTAGAGACTGAGAATTTTTTGCTTGTGTATGCAAACAATTACTTTGCAAATAAGCGAGATTTGTAGGAACATTTTGTTGTAAACATACTCGATACGCTTTATACTATACGATATAAAATATAGTCAACTATTAAATGCTCTTTACCTAATAAAAAAATTAGGTATTAAAGAACTAAATGTATCGGAAATTTATTGAAAATATAATGCATGAATTCGTTTAAAACAAAAGAATTGCGAATAAGTGGGATAGGTATATCTTGTTTTCTCAAATGAATTTCTTTGTTTAATAACATACATAGATATACGCACTGTCAACATAAGTTACATTACGTGAATACCTCTAAAATACACAAAAGACTTAGGTGTTTATCATTTAGTTGAAAATTCAATCAAATATTTGATTAGATTAATTGTTTGCTCAGTTCATATTTGTACGCAATAAATGTAATTTTTCTACCCGTAAAGCTCCATGTCACAGCCTTGAAGAAGATAATAATTTTGCAACGTTTAAAAAGATGGAAATTACAGAGCATTAGAATAATTTATTTTAATACAAAAAGTGGATTAATGTGTCCACCTGTTCGTCGGTGACTATCGCTTTTCTTGAAACTAATACCAAACATAGTGATTCAACATCGGATAAAACACATTTGACACATTGGATGCATGGAAAAGATGAATGCTTTCATTTAAAATTAATAAAAATGCGAGCAAAGTCTTAAACAGCTGAGTGTTTACTGTCTTTCCTCGAGGATATACTCACTCCTTGAGTGCTCACTTAAAGTTTTGTATACTTACAAAAACATGAATCTCCTTAGTAGCAAACTTATCTTCATAAAAAATGGACATCTATATTAGGTATGCGTGAATCTGCCACTAAGAAGAGCCTTATTCTTGAATGTAGGCACTCAATACTGCAAGCTGATACTGTTATGCATACAAAATTCCTAATCGGCACTCAAGGAGCAAGAATAATCCAATGCATGTGAGTTTCTACTCTGTTTTCTTAAGGAGCTACATACTACACGGTTTTTGAGTGTCGACTAACATGTTTGTATGCTTGAATAGAAGTATCATCTTGAACTACTGATGAGTGCGTACTTAACAAAAATATGAATTTCTTTGGTAGCAAACTTATCTTCATAAAAAATTAGCATCTATATTAGGTATGCGTGAGTCTGCTATTAAGAAGAGTCCTATTTTTGAATGTAGGAACTTAATAATGCACGCAGATCCTTTTATGCATACAAAATTCCTAATCGGCACTCAAGGAGCGAGAATAATCCAATGCAAGTGAGTTTATACTCTGTATTCTTAAGGATTTGCATACCTACACACTCCTTGAGTGTCGACTAAAACTTTTGTATGCTTAAACAGGAGTATCCGCTTGAGCTACTGATGAGTGCCTACTTACAAAGATATGAATCTCTTTGATAGCAAACATATTTTCATAAAAAATGGGCATCTATATTATGTATGCGTGAGTCTGCTCTTATTTTGAAATTTAGGTACTCAATAATACAAGCAGATACTCTTATTCATACAAAATTCCTAATCGGCACTCAAGGAGCAAGAATAATCCAATGCATGTGAGTTTCTACTCTGTTTTGTTAAGGAGCTACATACCTACACGGTTTTTGAGTGTCGACTAAGATTTTTGTATGCTTGAACAGAAGTATCCGCTTGAACTACTGATGAGTGTGTACTTAACAAAAATATGAATCTCTTTTGTAGCAAACTTATCTTCATAAAAAATTAGCATCTATATTAGGTATGCGTGAGTCTGCTATTAAGAAGAGTCCTATTTTTGAATGTAGGAACTCAATAATGCACGCAGATCCTTTTATGCATACAAAATTCCTAATCGGCACTCAAGGAGCGAGAATAATTCAATGCATGTGAGTTTCTACTCTGTTTTCTTAAGGATCTACATACCTACACACTCCTCGAGTGTCAACTAATAGTTTTGCATGCTTAAACAGGAATATCTGCTTGAACTACTGGTGAGTGTCTACATACAAAAATTTAAATCTCCTTGGTAGCAAACTTATCTCCCTAAAAAATTAGCATCTATATTAGGTATGCGTGAGACTGCTACCAAAAAGACCCTTATTCTTGAATGTACACTCAATAATGCACGCAGATACTTTTATGCATACAAAATTCCTAATCGGCACTCAAGGAGCG